TCCATCCATCCATCCATCCATCCATCCATCCATCCATCCATCGGAATGGGGGACCATTGTGCCTTTGGTATGGTCCCATCTAACCGTTTTTACTTCCTGGTTGCTCATTTAATCTTTTTTTTTTAAAAAGAGGACCTTTTTTTCTTAACAAAAACATTTATAAACAAGGCAGGGAAAAAAATTCTTCAGTGCTCGGTGCCCTCAGAATATGGTGGTTGCAGGACATCCAGAAAAGGGGCAGTGGGTGCAACATGCAAGTGCACTAGTAGATAACCTCCTTATTTATTCAGGTCACACAACCTGATGATCCTTCACTGCCTCCAGGAATACATTTCTGTGAAGAACATAATTTGAACACCCTAAATTAGCTCTCTTTACCCGACAGCGATTCCCTTGATCAGGATGGCAGAAAAATTGGGTGTTATTTGAAGTGGTGGTATTTCTTCTGTTGTGTTTAAAAGTAAAATCTACATTTTTACTGCTATGAATGCACCTGTCTTAATTTTTTGAGAGTTGTACATGGGAAAATAGTAAGGCAACAAAGGGATATATAGAAAGAGTTTTATCATGTGTGTTCTTTGAACAAATAAATTTAGGAAGTGGGATGAATGTAGGGAAGAAAAAAATACAAAATTATGTGTTGTTTGCATAGATTCTCTTGGGTAAACGCCTGAAAATTTTTGTGTTTTTTATTTATATAGAGATATATTGGAAAAGAAAAAGAAATTTAAGTGCCCCACATAGGATATGAATGCTATGCTCGATTTAATTGAGCTTGTCAGTGAAGGTGGAGAAATCATTCATTATAAACCAGCCAGAATGCTTTACTACATGTCCAGTATAGACATAATGTAAATAAAAAAGAAATAACTCATAATAGTTTGTCACCCGTAAACAATCACCCTGATGCTTGCAATGCTTTATTCAACATCTTCTGTCATTGTTTCACATTACAAGGAGATTAACCTGGATGAATATCACACCACTAAAATTACAGCCATTTTAATGTCCCCTGACAATGCTTCTTCAAGTGTTCTCTCCATGACAAAGTTGCTACCAAAAATTATTCACTTGTTTAAGACATACATGGTTAACATTATTTTAAAATGAGTATTTTCCCCACAGTTCATCCACTAGGAAAAGTGCAGCAAACAGGTGTGCATTTACAGTAATTTGGACTTGCTGCAAATGAACCACAGTAATAGATCCATAATGATATATGAATGGCTGAACATAAAACGAGATCAATAGAATTGAACTTGATAGAAACGGAGTGAAAATAACAGTTTTCTCTGGAAGTGTGCAACACATAACAAACAGCTGAGAGTTGAAGGAAGACTTATGTGCAAGATCTTTTTCATGCAAGAATGTTCTGTGTCCTGTTTCAGGCATCTCCAGGGCTCGAATATCTCCTGTCAGTTGGTGTTCACAAAATTGAACTAGATGGACCAAGAGTCTGACTCAATATAAGGCAGTTTCCTGTGTTTTTAAATGTATTGATGTTGGATGCAGGTTTTAGGGATGTATCCATTTTCTTCATATAAGTCTTCTTACCATCCACAACCATCTAGATGTGTTGAGTTGCACTCCATCACCTTTAGACATCATGGGGATTCAATCTGGGAATGATGAGAGTTGCAATTCTACACATTTGACAGGTCCAGATTGGGGAAGGCTGTTAGATAGGAGGTAGCGCTTGTCTGACTTTGTGATGAAGACAGAGAAGTGCCGCCCCTGTTCCCAGGGCCCTCTAATTTCCTAGTGTAACTTCATTTTAGGGGTTGCCTCCAAGTAGTGAAAAGGGTTATATGAACACTCTGAATAATCAAAACAGAAGCACTGTCACCACGAACGAGCTGATGCTTGGATGAGAATTACCAGTTGGCATTTCAGGTCTGTTAAGCGGCGCAATTAGAACCCTGTTGTGACCTGTTAACTAGCTAGCAGTTCCTTATATTTCTGTCTCTACTGCAGCATCTTATTTGTTAGCAGTAGAGTTGGGAAAAGTTACATTATTAGACTATAACTCCTAGTATCCCCAGCAGCACAGCCAGTGGCTGGATATTTTGGGACATCTAGTCCAATAAAATCTGATTTGTCTAAACTGTAGTTAGAAGTTTATGCTTGCCTTGCCCCTCCATCCTCGAATAGTATGCAGTGGTAGGCTTGACTTACATCTAGTAAGATTTGCCAGGAAAACGGGATCCACCAGCAGAATAGGTTCTCTTTTCAGGCACCCTATTTCCCAAAATCTATGCCTGAAAATTGAAGGATTGTCTGAGGCTGATTGAGGAGGGGAAGGGGGAGGGAAAAATCCCAGTGTACAAAATAAAATTTATTTGCTCATTCTGGATATTATAAACCCCTCCCCAGCAAAACAAGAGATTTAAAATTCATCTAAAAGTTTTGTTATAGTCCTTAGCTGCTCCAACCAAGAATGAGTTATAAAGAGAAACCTAGACATGCTGTTACTAAGAACAGCTGTAGTTCTTAGTAGCAGTAATTAAAAACAAAAACAAAAATAAATTGCAAATGGCCTGTAGATTTGAGGGTTTTTATATATATAACTTAATTGCTGAGTTAGTGCCATTATCTTTTTATTTCTGTTTGGAAAGCTTTTATACTTAAATGAATGAACTTTCTCAATGCTGTTTTAATTTGAATTATTAGATGTGTATATAATGTATACATAGAAGATTCACTGACTAGTTATTGAATCAGCTAATTTGTTTTGTTTCTGCCATTATGTAGATTTGTATATAAAATTACATGAAACAAGTTGATCTGTGTTTTTTTCCCCCTTGTACTTGTTACCTTGAGAACATTACTGGGGCTTTGAAACCAAAAAGCTATGCAAAGATTCTCCTTTGTTCTGAAACTAATGCTGCATGTGTGAGGTACCTAGCATAAAATCTAGCATAATGCTAATCTATTGCAGCTCTCTGATAGTGTGGTTTTAATAAGGTGTGTTTAATGAGTTTAAACTATAATTTTAATTAGAGTGGTGTCTGTTTATTTTAAAAGCCGCCTGGAGAAAAAGGCAAAATTGAAATAAGTCTGCTGGATTGCGCTTTTATGCAAATAGTAACACAAAGATTCTTGTGGTACAGTGATTAAATTGCAGTATTATAGCCAAGCTTCTGCTCAAGACCTGAATTAGATCCCAGTGGGCTCAGGTAGCCAGCCAGCTCCAGGTTGACTCAGTCTTCCATCCTTCTGAGTCAGTAATAATTAAATTGTAAACCATCTAGAGAGTGCTTTAAGTGCTATGGGGTGGTATATTATATGCAGCACACTTTGCTTTATATGCCGCCCTGCAGGCATGCAAACCTGCATTGTACAACAGGTTGTACCATGGAAACTGCATTAGATACCAGTACTGTAAATGCACAATCACTTATGCAACAGACCTTGTGCTATTGTCATGGCACTGTTAGGTAAAGTCTGCAATCTTTTTATGCACTTTTCTTTTATCCAGCGTTACTGTCACCGTGTAGGTATGTGCTCACAATTAATGACATAGGTTGAAACATTTCTATGCCCCCTCTAATATTTCTGGTTAGTGGTGTGTCTCACCAGCTTTTCATATTGGTCTAGATTCAGATTTAGATATTAAAACCAAGAACTGAAGTTTGATATTTGGAACCAGGAACAGTGTGATCTGGTATGTAAATATTTTTTTTCTTGAACCTTCCACTTGAATAAGAGTTCTGTGTGATTCAAAAGCTTTCATTTGTTTATAAACACTAGTTCTTTCACAGATGGAAACTGTCTTTGTGTGGGATCAGCAGCATGGTATAAATAAAATACCAATTTTTGTAGTAGAAGCCATCCTATTTAACTCGTTATAGTTCATTTCCCCAGTTTAGATGCTGGCAAACATAAAAATTATCAGTTATTTCTGTATGTCCTTTCCATGTCCGCCCTTCCATTCCTGTGGAATTATGAAACTACTATTTGATTCTCACACTGGTGTGCCTTTTATAATCTCCTGCTCCATTTGAAAAGGTAGTTCCTGTGAGTAGTAAAACATTTAATGATATCAGTGGTTTTATTTTCATATATAAGTCCCACTCTGGCCACGTTGCATTGGCTGCCCATCCGTTTCCGCATCGACTTCAAAGTGTTAATGCTTACGTACAAAGCCCTAAACGGTTTAGGGCCTTGATACCTGGCGGAACGCCTACTCCCACCAAGATCTACTCGTGTCACTCATGCGAGCCAGGAGGTGAGGCTGAGGAGCCTAACGCCAAGGGAGGCCCGGAAGGAAAAGACAAGAAATCGGGCCTTCTCGGCAGTGGCTCCTCGCCTCTGGAACAACCTCCCTCCTGAGCTTCGTGTTGCTCCCTCGCTGGGTATCTTCAAAAATCAACTTAAGACATGGATGTTTCGGCAGGCCTTCCCTCCAGTCAATCCCTGATGTCCTTTCCCCCCTCTATTTGCCTCTTTTATTACGTCTATTTTATGTAATACTGTTTTATATATATTTATTGTTCTATTTTATGTTGTTAGCCGCCTAGAGTGGTCTTAACCGGCTAGATAGGCAGGATATAAATAAATAATAAATAAATAACTCTTTTGAAATTTCCATTAAAATCCCTATATGACTTCCAAGATTCTAAAATCTTAGTTTTGGTTTCCCATTTCGTCTTTTTAAAAAATCTTTTGTTCCTAATATTCCTTTGCACTTTCTTTCTTTGTATATCTCAGCCTTCTCTGCACAGTCTCCATAGGT